GGAAAGAGAGCAAGGTGCATTTACAGTAATGTCTGCTTCTGTTCTCCATCCATGGCTGGGGAGGCATGGACTCCAGTTTGGCTCTGCCTACCCCAAAACAGAGACATTTCTAGGGGAGTGTGACCCCCCCGGGGGTATCGCAGGGGTGTGGGTCAGGGCCTTCTCAAACAACACTGCTGACTGTACAGTTCTATGGGTCTTGGTGGGGTATTATAATCTCAGGTTCTTTCATCAAATCAAGGGGATGTATGAAAGCAAGCGTACGAGATGCCAGATCTGTCCACAGAACGACAGAAAACGGACATGCACCAATTACTTCAAACTTCAGTGACAAGGGGCCTACCAGCTCGTGTGCACTAGGAAGAATTAGATTTTGGGAACAAACTGAGTTTGGGTTGAAGCCAAGGGACACGGGGAATGTGGGGAATAAGTGAAATTCCGAGACAGGAGAAGATGCTGCCTGCTTTTAGCTCCACAAAAAAGAAATTTTATTCCAATCCTCCATATTGGTTCTTCTCCATTTTGCATATTCTGCTACATTTATTTTTGAAGACTCTGTAAGAACATTACTAATACTGACTGATACATAACACATACACTCTTTGGAGTCAGTTCCATGATTTTATGTTGCCTCTTGAGTTTAGAAGTTCTGACAAAGGCACGACTGTTATTCCTTTCCTCACAAAGAAAATCTAGCCGCAGATTTAATTGAGACAGTGCTCTTCACAAGCCTGCACTACGGAATAAGGGTACTGCTGGTGGTGGCAGTAAGATGTATAAAAGTGTACAGATGAAAACTTGGAGCATTATTTACAACAGATGTGGTAACGGTAGCTGTTTAAAATCAGTATAAAGAATAAATATAAGGACAAGTAGTGAGAGCGTGGATCAATCATGGCTCCTCTCCCTTACCCCCGGCCCCCAGTTCCTGTTCATTATCAACCAGCCAAATACCACATATGCCTGTCTGTCGGACTAAAGGTGACCCTTTAAACAGGCTTCTTGTTGCTATGTTTACATACGCTTTCACAAGATAAAGTACTGCAGTAAAAAAGGCATATTGTCCTAAATGCACTGTATAGATTGAAATGCCTCTGTCTGTGTATAAGTGGTGAAAATAAATCAGAGTAATATCTAGACAAAGCTACACTTTGATATATGAAGAATCCTCATGGCTACATGTTTATAGTATGATGAAGTCTACAATGCCAGCCAAGAAAAATGCGTTTTGCAGGTGGGCCTAAATCTTTACGCAGTTGTGATTTTTAACTAACCTGTCTGTTTCCATCATGGGGCAGCTTCATGACCATAAATACACAAAAGCACTGACAATGTAAGTCATCCCTTAAAAAACATTTTTTTCTAAGTGGCACAGACAGTTAAAAAAGGCTTTACTTACCCCAGACAAGGACAATGTATCTCAGTGGAATGAAATACAGGATGATGGTGAACACGGAGAGGGCAACGATGGCCAGCCAGCTCAGGAATGGGACAGTCCAGTTGAATGTACTGAAAGAAAAATAACCGTGAGTCAGAACTGTGGTCACCCAACAGAGCCAATAAAAGAAGAAATAACGGGCAGGACGGGGGGAGAAGCGCCAGTTTTCCATCAGTGAGGACAACCTGAAAGGACAAATGAATGCACGGATGCTGGACATCAGGGCGAGCGTGGGGTTGGGCCCAACTCCCCATGGAAATGAAAGGGGGGTCCTGGCTTCACCCACTTGCCTGCTGACCAGCCCCTCTCCCTGGCCCAGCAGCGCACGCTGCCCTGAGGAAGCATCGCTCCGCTTTTCGGAAATGTCAGTGCCCACCCTCAATTTCAGCATCAGGCAGAAGACCCAGGTTGCCCCTCTGCCCAGACGCACTCACGCAGGCAGCCCCGGCTCCCTTCGCCGATGGTGGTAAACCACCCCTTGTGGTTTAACCCGGCTGGCAACTCAGCACCACCCAGCCGCTCGCTCAGTCCCCCCTCCCTCAGTGGGGTGGGGGAGAGAATTGGGAAGAAAATAAAACGTTAGAGCCGAGGGCTGAGATAAAGACAGTTTAGTGAGAGAAAATAATAATAATAGTAATAATGAGAATGATAACAGAATATACAGCATATACAAAACGAATGATGCACAATGTAATTGCTCACCACCGCCGACCGATGCCCAGCCCGTCCCGAGCCGCGAGCAGTCCCCGAGCCGCGAGCAGTCCCTGAGCAGCGATCACTCTCCCTGCAACCGACCGACGGACTAACCGCCCCCACCCCGAGCATGACGTTCCATGGTCTGGAATAGCCCTTTGGTCAGTTGGGGTCAGCTCTCCTGGCTGTGCTGTACTCCCAGCTTGTTATGCCCCTGGCCGAGCAGGAGAAGCTCAAAAAGTCCTTGAGTGGTCTGAGCACTGCTTGACAACAGCTGAAACATCCGTGTGTTCTCAACATTCTTCTGGTACTAAATCCAAAACACAGCACTATGCTAGCTACTAGGAAGAAAATTAACTCTATCCCAGCCGAAAGCAGCACACCCGTGCATAGGCAGGATATAAGAGTTGGAAGAGCACTGCCACAGCTTTCGGTTTTACCTCCTCCCTGCTCTATCGTAAGGACAGAGCAAGCAGTTAAAGGCTGAGCAGGGGCCTTTCCCTCTGCTGGACGTGCACTCGGGCTCCCTGGCCAGGAACCCTTCAGTCCTGGGGGGGTACATTCAGGAACGGGTGAGTGCGTGGGTGTGCAAAGCTGGAAACTCACCCGTGCACCTAAGAAGGAGAGGGTTAGGGAAATGGAGGGGGCAGAACGGTCAGTCCTGAAGGCAGGGATAACGCAACAGCAATGGATGAAAGAAGGAAAGAAAAACACTTTGGGTGGCAAAAAAAAAAAAAAATGGAGAAAAAAGGATGGGAAATTAAAAAAAAAGGAGGGAGCGGCATGAGATAAAGTACATTGCAGGAAAAGCAAAGAAAAACTTTATCATTCTAGATAAAATCAAAGCAAATCAAGATTATTTCTTTATGGATAAAAGAAGAGAACTTCTGGGATCCCACCAGTTTCAGGACACCAGCTTTCCAAAAAAGCCCCAGACCAAAACATCCTCAATAAGGGTCCTAAACTCTACACCGTGACAAAAACCTGCCGGTCACCTCATTTTGCAGAGGTTGAGGTGTGGGCAGAGAGGAAGTGCAAGCTAATGAGTCTTGAAACAGCCGTGCTGTGGCTCTCCAACCTCTGTGCGCAGGGAAGAGAGAAAGGCCAGATGGCCAATTTATATATATATGTGCCCCCCGGGAACGCCGGTTAAAGGGAGCTTGGCTCAATGGGACTGTTCCATGAAGGCATCACCATGTCAAAGGTGTTGCATGACATTTATCCAGAAGGAAAATGTGGCTTTGGCTCTAAATAGTCTGATGATACTCTTCAAAGTATTACCACTAGCTACATGCCCAATCAGCCTGATTACATTATTTTGGCTTCTCTGGCTGAATAATTGCAATTATCTGAATTGCTAGCCATATTTTTCATAATGAGCTCTGGCTTCCTGTGTTTATTTGTCTTCTTTTCTCCCTGGCAATTTTGACATGTCTCCAGAGTGAACATTATGTTAGTGTCACTTGGTGTAGGATCACTCCCTTTCTCCTCAGGGGACACCTGCTCTTTTCCCCTCTTCTGCATGCATTTGGGATGAACAGAAGGTTGAGGGTCTGCTCGTGTTCCTGTGACTCGGCTTTGTGCAATGGATCACAGACACGCCATGTGTGGGAACACTGGCTCCTCACTTAGCAAACCTCCTTATGTGCTGTGTTAGCACAGCATTCAGTACAGGTTTCCCATTATAGTTTTAGGAACAAATTACAAAGATTTATAGGAAGACTCGGTCTCACTCAGCTTAGAAAATTCTGTTGCTCTCATCTGGTATGTAATAGAACAAGCCCTACTTCCAAAATGCACAATTAGAAAAACTTAATCATCAAGACAACTTCCACGAACAGCCTTTCGATAAAAGACTTCTTCCAGAGAAAGGCTCATTGTGCTTGTCTGGAAAACCTGTGCTCATACGATGTGCTCACGCCTGCCTCTGCTGCGAACATAGCCTGCCTGGAAGTGTCCCCATGGGAATGCTTCCCAGGCTTTCCTGGGGGGGACTTCGCTCTTCAATGCATAAATGGCAACCTCCTCTTCATCCTGATTCTGATATGCTTTGCTGATAGATTTAAAAAAAAAACCAACCCAAACAAAACAAGCGGCAGAACAGCATGGTAGATGGTCCTCCTGTTTCCTGCAGGTTGACCTCCACCCAATGCATCAGCTTCCTAAAATTCACTTCCAAAAGCCAGCACTCACTTTGGGGCTGCCCCCCTTGCACAGGCTAGGGTCTCGTAGGTGCGGAACACCGACGCGCTGCGGATGGCACCGGCGGTGGACAGGACGGGCGCCGTACGCTCCTGGATGACACCCAGAACCAGGCAGCAGGCGGCTTTAACTCTCCTGTAAGATGCGCCGCGTGCGCCAATGGGAGCTTTACAGCAAAGCCTCTGGTGGAGGTTTCCTAACCTGGCGTGGCCCCCGGGTCGCCCCTCCGCCTGCCCCCTCTGCCCTCAGCGCAAAGGTGGTTGCAGAGGCACCGCTCCCGAATTCTCATCTGGTGGGGACGAGGTGCTCTGGGCTTTCGGGGGGCAGAAAGCCAAGGCCATCCTGTCCCTGCTTCTCAGCTGATGGCTGGAAGACGTCTTTCTGGAACCCGTCTGATCTCAAATAATAAACCTTACACTGCTGTTCACTGACCATGCCGAAAATACACCAAACTTCCAGCAATAAATCTCAGAACCTCTCTTGCCTAAGGCCTGAATTTGTTGGCAATTCGTATATATCATGCATTAGGTGTTACAAATTACATACGCTCTAGGAGGAAAGGTTTTGCTAGACTCACATAAATACAACACATCAAGCAACTGAACATATGTATACCCTTAAAATCTGAGACCCCTATTCAGCTCTCCTTATTTCCTTTATCAAAGCCGCATTTTTTTTATTGTAACTTTTAAATAACCACTGTTAGGCCTCACAAAGATTCTCCTTCTGTTTCACTTCAAAGCCTTAGTTCTGATTCCCCCCCCCCAATTGATGTATTTCTAAATTCCAAAATCAATGTCACAGGATTCTCATCAACTGAGGGCCTCCACAAAGCATAGTAAATGTAGATGACTTTCAACAGTGGATCATCCAAAACTGGAGTCCCCTGCAAAAAAAAAGAGGAGGGGGGGGAAAAAGGTCTAACACTTTGCACCTCAGCTTGGAAAAAATATGAACTGTATTGGAGAGCAACCCAGCACCTGTGTCAGCACTTACTTCTTGATCCTTTCTCCGAAGGAAGCCACTTCATCAAGGATATTCTGGACGCTGACACACACCTCCTGGATGGCATAAAGTCTATTCATAAATCCTTTTTTTTCGCTGTCCTAAAGAAAAGAATAGGAGTAGTTGAATAAAAAAAAAATTCTGACTGTAGGAAAAGGACCATGTGTCCATCAGTTAAGTTTCAAGAGCGTATGTGTTACAGATTCATCTAAAAGTAATTGGTAAAACCTGGCAATCAGAAATGTTTTCCTGTGCTTTAAACAGTGCATATTGACAACAAGTATACATGCTGAGCACCACACAATTTTGGTCGTCATTGCATTAGTTTCTAAATATGTATTTTAACACACAGGGTCTCTGGTTTATAGACACGTTGAAGGGGCCAACCTCATGTCTTGTGTGGTCTCTCAAGGGATAAGACTCAAAAGGTGGAATAAGGGCAGTTTGTCAAAATGCAGGTTCTTGCACTGATATAGGCACCAGGAAGATAAACATTCCTTGTGGGAGGCACCAAGCGAGAAACTAGAAACACCTCAGCCTCTGCAGACACGATCCCTGCTGGCTCACGGGGCTCCACGTGGGCTTTTGCCTTCCCTGCTCCTTCAGACCACGTTGGGCCAGACCCCAAGGATGAAACAGAAAATGCCAAAGTCATCTGGACATGGTATGAAGATGGGCTGCTCTTCTGCTTAATGGGGACCATCAGAGGCATTTAGAATCACAGAATCAGTGAGGTTGGCAAAGCCCTTCAAGCTCCCCCAGCTCAACCGTTCCCCTGCCATCCCACCCCCAAACCCTGGCCCTCAGAACCGCCTCTGCCCGGCTGTTAAATCCCCCCAGGGCTGGGGACTCGACCCCTTCCCTGGGCAGCCCCTTCCAGCACCTGACAGCCCCAAGGGGAAGGAATTGTTCCCCATGGCCAACCTCACCCTGCCCTGGCGCATCATTTACCTTGGGAAAGATACGTTCATATTTAGCATTTTGTATCTCATGCCACTATTTTATACATAGTTTTATGTATCCATTACACCCACGGCACCTCTGCCAGTCCTTTTAACACATCTTCGGTGCTTCCTTTACTCCGCCAACCATTAGCACCACAGCATCAGGACACCCCATATGCCCACAGCACAGCTGGCGGCATATATACGGGAGCTGTAGCTCTGACTGCCTTACAATATGATTAGTGCCAGCCGTGGACAAAATTAAAGATGCAGGAGAGGTGTCATTGTAGGAAGTAATTTAATTGCCTCCTTACTTACTCAGGTGTCTGTACACTATTGTTCTTCTATTATTCACAAAGCCATCAATTTATGGTAATGTAAAAACCTAACCATAATTTCATTTTCTTTAATTTATCAAGAGTCTTTGTGTCCCTAAAAATGTGGGGTTTTTTCCAAAAACAGAGTGACCATTTGTCCCTCAAAAGTAGGAACCACCCTCATTAGAATGTTTTCTGGGGTCTTTGATAGATTTGCCGTCAGCGAATGTTGTCCTTTCTGCCAACTCGAGTAGACTTTGTCTCCTAGAAGAACCCAACAAGGTGATGCTCGGGTACTTCAACATGGACCATTCCTCAAGTGAACCTCATCCCGCTCTGATGACCTGATCTTTTTTCCCCCCAAAGCTTTCTATGTCTGAACCCAGACAGGCTGCAGCATCAAATCCATGCAGAGCCAACAAGACTCTCAATAAAATGCTGTATTAGATGGGATTAAAATGAAGCATCATCATGGAAAAAAAAAAATTGACAGTTTCTTTTCATTTTTTCCCATACTACACATAAGTCAAAAGTTTATGTTCAACATTTCCAATGGACTGATGCTGTATTACCCTATCTAGTTTGAATTAGATTAGTATTTTCTCAAAACAAGAAATTGGAAGAAAAACATTTCAGGATTAGCAAAATATTTGATAAAAAAAGTTGTCTGAGATTTTGCCATCACAAACCACACAACTGACTCCAAAGTCCAGCACCTAAGAAATTAGCATATGTTGCATTTAATTTTTCTTTTTTTCTCCTGATGCTTGATAGCAGACAGTATATTGATTAACTTGTTTTGTTGTCATATTTGCTGTCTTAATAAACCGGATTGGATGAAGAAAACTTCATTTAACATTCAGTCATCCAAAGTTACTTCAGCGACACTGGTTCTGCAACTCTGTTGTCAAGATTTCTTGTGAAGACATTGAAAGTATTCAGCTACAAACACAGATTGTCTGAAAATAAACAATCACGAGAGGCAGACAGACAGACAGTGATGGCGAAACTACATCCAGTGAATGAGTGTAATTTAAAAAACCACTTTGGAGACAGCAAACCCACCAGTTTCGCAGGCCATGTGAAGAGCTTATCTTCTCAGTCAAAATTAATAAATATTTATATCACAAAGAAATATTTTTGGTTTTTGAGGATGCCCATAACCACAACCACTGGTATGAACTCCATCCAGTGCTGCACAGCAACACCGAGCCACTCATGAAGTTATTTCCTCAATATTTATTACATTCTTGAAGCCTTGTCAATGAGAGTGTTATTGTCCTCAGGTATACAGCTTCAGAGGAGGTGCAGCATCTACCCAGCATCTTTCATTTGCCATCGGGAAAGAGATACCTGCTCCATTCCTTCACGTAAAACACACACTTCCAGTACTGGAGAGGCAGACAGCAGAGCGAACGACAAGCCATACTCAAATCACAGGTATTTTCCTGCTTTCACATACACACACACTTTGCCCCTTCAGTTTTGTTTAACAGATTCTACCCTCTCTGTAAAGTTATCTTGATTTACAATTAAGCTGTGTGAGAAGATAATTACGTCACAGTAACGAAGCCAGTACTCTTTGTGACATCTCCAGAACTCAAGTGCGATTACGCTCAAAGGTCCTGAGGCTGTTTTTCTTTACAAACATTTCACAAGGCAAACTTGTACCTTTCCTTGAAAGCACATCTGTTTTAAATCCTTCCCTCCCCTCCCCCCCCAAAAAACCCCACAAGACAGAAGGAGACAGAGAAAGAATCACTATTTCCACCCCCCTGCACCTTCTGAGCTTAAAGGAAAATTTGTTGACATACTCCAAGGCAGGAATAGACAAAACAGCACAGGAAAGAGGAGGCGGTCAGAAGGACCAGGGCTTGGCTTTGCTTAAACTAATTCCACATGCCCCACAACTATTAGCTGTTTTTTATTTCCTGCTCCAAAGATTTGTGGAGAAAATAATCTGGGCTAGGGAAAAGCTGTGCTTATTTTCTTCCAGCAAGATGCTGTGTTAGCAAATACAACATATGAGCCACCTTGAGCGAACCGAAGTTCTTAATAATCCATTTTTCAAACACTACTGGTATTTCCTTTCCAAATAAAGATGGGCTGTGACTGGAATCAATTTCATCAGTTGTATGGCTACAATTGCCAAGTTTCTGGAAATAATTGCCATTTAAATAGTAGATAAAATTTATTATACAAAGCTAACAACAGCTTTATAACGATTTAATTTCCATTATTTGTTTGTTTGCAGTAGGCTTAAGGTATCTGAAAAGCAAGATGTTTGCTAGGGGATGGCTTTAAGCATAAACTGTGAAAACAAAATCAAATTGATGTTGATAGTCTTGACTTGAATTTATAAAAGGGAATGAACCCAAAGTAAAGACTGAGACCACGTCCTCCTCCTCCTCCTTAGGAAATTGTAGATTACAGATTGATACGCTGCTTGGCCAATAATAATACTTAACCCTTGTATACTGATTTTCAGCTATAACCGTATTCTACATGTGGCAAAACCAAAGCAAAACAAAGCAAATGACTGGATCTAGGCTGTGTGGAGCTAATTCACATGCAACCCTGAATACAGACCATGTTGTCTGAGTCTTTTTATTCAGTGGACTATTCTTCCAATCCCGTGATAAAATAGGGTCATTTAGGAAAGGATTGTATGTCTAACCCCAAACCTCTCTCTTGTCTAGGTTGAAGTGCATTTACAAAAAAACATTCCAAAAGACGGGGAAAGCAGGAGAAATAAATAAGCTACACCCAAAAGTAAAGTTAATGGAATTAAGCCAGCAAAAAAACGGAGCTCTAAGTGCAAGGGTACATTTTTGGTACAGAGAATAAAGCTCTGATTATCTTGTGGTTGATAACTGTCCTATCAATGACTGCTAAGTTGGAGAGAAAGTCACAGATCATAAAACCAAAAATCATACAGGAATTTCAAAAATAGAAGTAAATTTCAAAATTTTTAGGAGATGCTGTCTGAGAAAGACAGAGGCTCCAGATGTATCTTCCAAAAAGCCCCCTCGTTGCCCAAGATATGATAGAGCACCTCTGTACAAACCGAAGCAAGCGTGACAAAGCCAGAGTAACTTGTGGTAGGTACAGCGAGACGTGATGAAGCTATTGAGAGCAAGTGTTCACCTGGTATGCTGTCGGTGCTATGGTCCTGTCACTTGGCCACCAGAAGACACATGCGCTTCTTTGCTTGTGTCACACTGGACTACCTGTGGCCACAAAAGCATAGCCCTGCAGCTATCGGTGAGGAACCCCTCTAACTGCCCCATTCACCTGTAAATCTCTACTACTTGAATAGACAAATACTACTTCCATGAGGAAACACCGGAGATTATTGCAACGGGTGATTGCTCTCCAAAGCAGAGCCCATCCATAGGCCCCGTGTCATCCCCCAGCATAAGTCTCAGCCACAGGCAGGGCTGCAACACCCTGGTAGACCTCCCTTTGGAGGCTAATGAAGCAGACCCAGTAGTGTCAGTAGGAAGGAAATGCATTCGCCCTTTACTGGCAGGATTCATTAGTACCTCCCAGGGAGTGCATGCAGACACCAACTGTTGAATACTGCCCTATGGTCTGGCTGCTGCTCAAAAACCTGTCACTGGGAATTAATGGCCTCGGCAATTACCTCCCAGACTCTTAACCCCTGCTTTCTGGGAAGGTCACTAAGAAGAAGATAGTAAGCCAACACTATTCCAGCTCTGGAGGCATTTGATCTCCTCCAGGTCTTCTGCACCCCTATCAAAAGGCTTCAGATCTGGTGATGGATACACGGGTAAGTCATTATTTTATCATTTGCTCAGGGAAATGGAAAGAGGTCAG